TTCCTCAGCACCACATAAGCAAAAAGAAAAAAGCCGGAAGTGGCGCTGTGGCTCAAGTGGTAGAGAGCTAGCCTTGAGCTGAAGAGCTGAGGGACAGCGCGCAGGCCCACAGTTCAGGCCCCATGACTGGACCCCCCCCCAAAAAAAACAAAAAACAAAAACCTTCATATAAACCAGGTGCCAGTGGCTCATGCCTATAATCCTAACTATTCAGGAGGCTGAGATCTGAGGATCGCTGTTCAAAGCCAGCTTGGGCAGGAATGTCCATGAGACTCTTATCTCCAATTAACCACCAGTAAACCTGAAGTGGTGCTGTGTCTCAAGTGGTAGAGCCCTTGCCTTGAGCTGAAGAGCTCAGGGACAGTGCTCAGGCCCAGAGTTCAAGCCTCATGACTGACAAAACAAAAAAAAGCAAAAACAACAACAAAAAAACCTGTTCATATACATGTGCCCAAGGAGATATTTATGACTTCCCTCTTCTTAGTGGGAAAGCTGAAAATAAATGTTCACAAATACAGGAATCCAGATACTCAAAGAAGCTAAGATGAATGAACTAATCCAGGCATGGTTGCACATGTCTGTAATCCCAGTTCTCAGGAGGCTGAGGCAGGAGAATTATGAGTTGCAGGCCAGCCAGCCTACAATATATAGGATGACCTTGTCTCAAAAAAACCACCACTAGATTTATATGTCATAACACCAACATGTGATAAATATATGCACATTTAAAAAGAACATGTAGCATCATAAAAAGATATAGACATTATACATATATGTATATATACATATATACATGTGTGTGTGTGTGTGTATACACTATAGTTGTACAAGGTTACACACCAAAATCTCACCAGCAGCTGCCTGAAGAGAAAATGCATAGATTACATCCATTTGTTTTGCCTGGTGGTGGAATATGTTAATAGAGCCCATGTCTGGCACACAGAAAGGCCTGAGCTTGATCTCCAGCACCCAGGGGAAAGAGGGGGATAAAAAAAGTTGGGGAATTTATCTTCCTAGTTTAACATCTGTTAACTGTGCATAACAATTGTCTGTTACATTTTTTTCCAATTAAGTAGCAAGGGGATTCAGCTGCTCCTAGGTTTCCTTAGGGGCTTCCACTTCCTGCTAAAGTGTGGAAGAAGTAGCTACCCCTGAGCTCCACTACAGATCACTCTGCTCCCTGCAAAATCTTTGTGCTCTCGAGGGGCCATAGAGGCTGAATGCAGTATCAACTGCGCCTCAAGCCTCCCAGAGTAGAAACTGAGACCTTCATGAAAACTGGCAGGGCTGGAGAAAGGACGCTAGAGAGAAGAGAAGAATATGGATACAGGGGGAGAAGCCAAGGCCGGAGCAGTGCATGTCTGAGCCCTGAGGTTGGAGGGGGCAGGACTGGAGTCTAGGTACTTTTTCAGAGGAGTAATGGTCATTGATGCCCCAAGCTGTAAGAGGTGTGCTCTACAGTTGCTTCTTAGATCAGAGTACAAATGATTGGCTCCTCTAGGAAAGGGCTCTCTATCTTCCATGCTCATGAGAAGAAAAAAGCCTGGTCCCAGGCTGGCATCAGCTAACTCTGCTAGCATTTTCCTGTGAATCAGGAACAGAAACCAGCTGTGTGCAGTGGTCAGAGGCCATCCTGAACACTGCCATCTGCACAGTCACCCAAGGCAGGAGAGCTTGAGGCCCCAGCCTGCCAGGGTCATTAACTTGGAAGCGGAGGTTGCCTGGAAACAGCAGCTCAGCACAGAAGTGATCTCACAAAACAAACAGCAGAGATGCTAATTTCTTTCTGTCCATAATGAATAATCAAATATCCAGAGACTTCAGTTGAAAATAAACTTCCTCCAGATGCCTAGCATGCCCTGGATCAACCCTTGGCCCTGCCAAGCCTGCAGGCGCCAAGACTTGGACATCAGTTCATGATGCTGGGAGGGGGTGGCAAATTTGCAATCAGCTGAGACCCATACAGAGATTCCAGTGATAAAGATGAATTAGGAGACCCTGTCCACTGTCCTCTGGGCTACTTGCTCTCCTCTTAAGTATGCTCTCTTCTGCATCCCTGAGGGATGAGGAGAGGCTACCCTCAAGCCAATCAGCTTGGCTCCTGGGACCGGGGAGGGTTGTCTGGGTGTTCACCATCCCTGCACTTGGGGAAGCAGCTTGGCCTGCTTCCAGGCAGGCCAAAAGTACAGTGTTCTGAGTGCCTCTTCTGAACAACCGCAACAACAGCAATAATAACTAACGGCAGTAATAATACTGCCAAATATTGAGCACTGATGAATTTCTAACCTTCCAGACGCTGTCCCAAGTACTTTCAAGTATTAACTCACTACTAACTATGATTACCCTCATTTACATGAGGAAGTTGAGTCACAGAAGGTGAGATAAGCTCTCACAGGACTGTCTATGGCAGAGCTGGGATTCAAACCCAGTTATGGCCAGCTTCAGAAGCCATGCTTGTCCCCACAACACTGTTGGTCTTAAAAAGACAAACAAAAAAATTCCCAGAGCTCTCAAAACACAAGGTGTCTTCCTTGTCACCTGCATTCTCCTCAGATATAATGGTCAAGGTTATGGTTTATTCATTCATTCATGAATCGACCACTGGGCTGCTTTTGAGGGGTCTAAGTGAAAAATAGTCTGTCCTCCTGAAGCTTAGCTTATGGTTTTGGGGAGACAGGCGCTTGTAAGTAATTCATGAAGAATGAGCACAGGTGATAGGGAAGGGTTCTCTGAAGAGGTCATTTCTTTTTTCTGTTTGCTGCTCCTGGGGCTTGAACTCAGGGCATGGGCCCTGAACTTTTTTGCTCAAGGCTTGTGCTCTACTACTTGAACCAAAAACTTTCTGGTGGTTAATCAGCAGTAAAGAGCAATACAGACTTTCCTGCCCGGGCTGGCTTTGAACTGTGATCCTCAGATCTCTGCCTCCTGATTAGCTAGGATTATAGGTATGAATCACCAGCACCCAGCTTTAGGAGACCATTTCTTTTTTCTTTTCTTTCTTTCTTTTTTTGGTCAGTTGTGGAGCTTGAGCTCAGGGTCTAGGCACTGTCCCTGAGCTTTTTTTTTTTTTGGGTCCGGTAGTGGGGCCTGAACTCTGGGCCTGGGCGCTGTCCCTCAGCTCTTCAGCTCAGGGCTAGTGCTCTACCACTTGAGCCACAGTGCCACCTCCGGCTTTTTTTCTTTTTGCTATGTGGTGCTGAGGAATCGAACCCAGGGCCTCAGGCATGCAAGGCAAGCACTCTACCACTGAGCCATCTTCCCAGCCCTCCCTGAGCTTTTTCACTAAATGCTACCGCTTCACCACTTTGAGCCAAAGTGCTACTTCTGGTTTTCTGGTGATTAACTAAAGAGTCTCACAGACTTTCCTGCCCTGGCTGGCTTTCAACTATGATCCTCAGATCTCAGCATCCTGAGTAGCTAGGATTACAGATTTGAGCCACCAGCACCCAGCTATGAGGAGGCCATTTCTAAGTTGGGAACTGATCAAAGGGAGCCAGGTAGATGGGGAAGGCTATATTAGGCAGATGGAGCTACAATATGCATTTGTCAGAAAGTTCCTACAGTGTGAACTAAGAACAGCAAGTCCTGTGTAAGGAGGCACAGAGTAGGGGAAGGAGAAGCCAGAGGACTATATATAGTTTTGTGGTCATTTCTGGAAGCCTGGCCTTTTGCCAGTGGAAAGGAGAGCCCTGGCCAGAGAGAAGCAAGGTCTGGGCAGGATTTGGCTGATAGTCTCCTGCTGCCAGCCGAGGGATATGGTGGGAAAGGAGCAAGCCTGTGTAAAAGACCTACTCATGAGGCCACAGCAAGCGTCCAGAAGGTTAATAGGGGGTAAAAAGGAAGGATGACAGAGGGAACATAGAAAAGTATGTAGCCATGAGGGACATCAAATAGGGATACCCTATGGGAAGTGGGGATGAGGGACAAGAGAGAGGAGGGGGAGGGCATTGTGCGAAAGGAGAGGCACCTAGGATGAGACCCAGGCACCCACTGAAATAAGGACAAGAGGAAGAGCAGGAACTTTAGGCAGTGAGTCTGGTTTTAAACAGGCTGAGCGTGAGGGCCTATGAGTTTCCAAGCAAGCATCTTCTGCAGGGTGAGCTACACAGAGCCCTGTCCCTTCACTTCAACTAGTCTCAAGACAAAGAAGAAACTTGGGGATGCTGCTCCCTTTTGCCCAGCTATTCACACTCCAGGAACAGGAGGAGGACAGCAATGAACTCCTAGGCTTCCTGGCAGGCTGTCAGGAGTTAGGGTGGGATGCTATGTGGGTATGATCTAAGAGTCCTCCTGGAAACATAGAGGCAGAGCTAGGAGAGAGGGAATGATGGAAACCCTGGAGAAGAGCATCTCCCAACACGCAGCTGATACCCTTTCCTTTCTCTACTGTGGCAGGTAAGGCTGATTCTCCATTCTTTTTGCTCTGGGGACCTCAGGAGACAACCATTAGTAGATGCAGTCTTCACCCAGTTGTTCCGTTTTAGAGGCAGTACTAGGATGTAGTGAATCCCCCTGGTCTCAGGTGAGAATGCCACTCAAGTGAGGTCTGTATTCCAGTGTTAGCTCAAGGGGCTCCCATAGAGGGAGAGATAGAATGATCTCAGAAGCATTGATACATGTGGCCCATCCATGTATTCCTGAAAACAGTCCCAAAGATCCACCACAGCAGGCTTGGAGTTGAGGTCCTGGACCCAAGTGTCCCCATAAAGTCTAAGTCCTGACTAGCCACCAAGATTTCTGAGAGATGGCTCAGGCCTTTAAGAGTGCCCAGTGGGCCGGCCGCTGGTGGCTCACGCCTGTAATCCTAGCTACTCAAGAGGCTGCGATCTGAGGATCGCGGTTCAAAGCCAGCCCAGGCAGGAGAGACCGTGAGACTCCTATCTCCAATAAAACCACCAGAAAGCCGGAAGTGGCGCTGTAGCTCAAGTGGTAGAGCGCTCGCCTTGAGCTGAAGAGCTGAGGGACAGCGCCCAGGCCCCACGGCTGACCAAAAAAAAAAAAAAAAAAGAGTTCCCAGTGGGTTGGGGCTCACAAGTCCTTTCCCAAGGCCCTCTTAAGAACCAATGCCTTCTGGGAGACTCACCAGCTTCTGGAAGAGGTGGCCCATGGTGACCTGGCTGTCCCACTGCTGCACCTTGGGGCAGAGGTTGTCGTAGAACTCCTTGTGGATCTCATAGATGTCCTGGATCTTGTAGAAGATGGTCTCAATCTGCTGGATTGTGAGTACGGGCTGGGAGGTGGTGGCTGTGGCCTTCAGGGGTTTCATGGGCTAGGAGAGGAGGAAGAGCAGAGGTGAGAATGAATAAAACAGAGTGCTGGCAGGCCCCAAGCAGATTGTGACACTGATTAAAACTTTGTGATGTCCAAGTCATGCCTAGACAAGGCCACCAAAGGCAGGGCACTGGCAGCTGCTCTCACAGGCCCTGACACGCCATGTGCAAGGAGAAGGAACCTGGCAGCAGGACCGTGGCCCAGGAGTCAGAGACATTCCCCACCCCAATCAGAGGTGGCATCCAGCTCATGCCTATGAGGGCTCACTGAGAGGTTTAACAGGACCCTTCTTTTCCACATTGCCCTCATGGCCTGAGTCTTGAAGCTTCCTCATCACACTTCAATGGAAAGGAGGATGGACTGGGAACTGAGCTGTTTAGTTTCTTCCTTTCAGGAAACAAGGTGATTCTCTGACTTGAGGCCAGCTCAGACGCCCTGATATTTCAGGTTCTCACTTAGAGAAAGGTGCAGCTACCTGTATGACAACTTCCTATTTTCCATCCCCATGGCCGACATTGTTGAACAACCATGATGAACCAGTGAGTGTGGTTGTGGTCTTAGGTCCTTTCTCAATTGACATGAAAATGAAACTTATCAGTCATCCCTGCTTGTCTACACCATGTACACGAGGGTCTTCAAGTGGCAATGAGGCAGTGACAGATGGTAACACAGGACCATCTGTCTATGCTAACATAGGCCTAGCCCTAGGCTGGTGCAGATGGTAACACAGAATCATCCCCACACTGCTTGGGCTAATGAGGCTCAGGTAGTAAGTCTCTGTATTTTCTAAATCACTTACTGATCTACAGGTGGTGGTATACACCTGTATTCCCAAATACTCAGGAGTCTGAGGTAGGAGAATCACTTGGGCCCACGAGTTTAAAACCATTCTAAATAAATAATCAAGATTCCTATAAGGAGCTAGAGGCATGGCTCAGGTAGTAGAGCAACAGCCAATGAGCAAAAGCATCAGATGAGATCAAGTTTCAGTCTTGGGCAAAAAAAAAAAATCAAGACTCCCATGAATAAATAAAAATAAATATAAACAATAAATCCTCCACAAGGAGTAAATATTAATTTTGCAATCATAAAACCTCCCAAGATGTCCAAACTATGCTCCAAAGGCCACGTAGGCACAGGGTCTGAAAACCTGCCACATGGAGAAGACTGGAGAGGAATGGGCCTGTTTCTGGAAGAGAGGCCTGGGTTGGGTAGGCTGATATTCTTCTAAAGGCTGAATGGAAAGAGTTCTTCAGCTTAAGACAAGGTTACCTGTAGACCTAGCAGCAGTGGGGAGAAGTGAAGGGTCAGATTTGGGCTCTCTAGAGCTGTCCCCCACTATCTCCCAGGATGAGGTAGTGAGCTGCAGACAGGAGAAGCATGCTAGCAGACCACAAGCAACTCATCTGATGAAAGGGCTGGACTGGAGGGAACAACTACATGAGCAAAACCAAAGCTATCCTTAGTTCCCATAAATCTTGACCACCAGCTTGAGCTGGCCACAGCAGCTAGACTTGCTGTCCAGCTTCCTCTGTCCTCCTTCCGATGGAGCTGAGCCCAAGTTTGTCCATAAGAGAAAGTCTCCCCTGTGTAAATACCCAGCCAATGCTTAACTTCTGGCCTCCTTGCCCTCCAAGCTCTACCAAGTCCAGAGAAAAGCAGGCCCTCTCCTGCTGACTCACTCCATGCTAGAAGGAAGTGACCCTCAGTGTGCAGTCCTTGCTGGGCAAAGGGTGTGGGTTTGAACTCTGATTCTGCTACTTAATACTTATAAGCAGATCACCTACCACTTCTGGGCTTAGCTTTGTCAGCTGATGTTAAGATCCAAAGCCTTACTTTATATAAAGTATCTAGAATGTGCCAGGCACACAGAAAAGTAACCAATATTAGTATGAAAATAATGTACCAAGGCAACTAGCATGAGGCAAGACTTGGAGTACTCAGTGGTGGACAACTTCCCATCTAGCAGGGGAGACAGATCAGACAAGTAGACTATCAACTATCTAATGACATATAACAGTAAGTGCAATGAAGGAAACTAGGAGACCTCCTGAGACAGGGCGGTGAAGGACAGCTTCTCCAAGGAGATGAATGTGTAGGGGGGTGAGTGATGCGGGGAATGGCACTCCAGGATCATGCCAGGTCTGGAGGCAGGAATGGGCTTGGTGAGAGAGAGGGGTTGAAAAGGTGTGTGTTCTATAGGTAAGAATTGGGAATAGCCTAAGACAGGGCAGGGTAGATCCTAGGTTTATGTCTGTGGGGGGAGGTGGTCCATGCAGTGGAAGGATAACAAGTTTTTGTTTGTGTTTTAAAGTGATAATGGGGTTTGAACTTAGGGCCTTGCATTTGCTAGGCAGACAGGTTACCAGCCAGCCTTTTTTTGTGTTTTTAATTATTTTTCTTGTTTTAGTTGTTTAGGGTTTTGCCTAGTGCCAACCTGGACCAGCATCAGCTCCTTCTTAGTGTTCATAATTGGTATTTCAGATAAAAACCATCATGCTGGACTTATTGGTTGAGATGGCTTTTTGTCTAGGCTAGACTCAAACCATGATTATTCACAGTTCTACCTCCTGATTAGCTGGTATTATAGGTGTTTACCACTGCAGCTACACCTCCCTCCCCTTTCTGGTGGTATTAGGGTTTGAATTCAGGGTTTTGTGCTTGCTGGGCAAGCAATCTACCACTTGAACTACATCCCCAGTCCTTTAGTTTTTAGTTTGTTTTTCAGATACGGTATCTTCCTTTTACAGGTCTGGCCTCAGAACTCAACCCTCTTGCTTCTGTCTCTCAAGTAGCTGTGATTACAGGCACATGCTGCCATACTCAGCCTAGGAAGAAGTACAGATTTGACTCTGCAACTGACCCAGCTTTCTGTGTGAGCCAATATTTGGGAGACTATTTTTGTGACCTGTATCCCTGAATTTGAGAACTGTATAAACTATTAGAATAAAATGAACCAACAGTGAACAATGTGTGACAGCCTATTCTTGTCCAACTTAGACTAGAAATATCAACCAAATGGTTCTAAGGTCGCACAGTAGGCTTCTTGGAGGAGAGAGAGAGAGAGAGAAGGATCTCAGCTGGGGAGATCTAGGAAAGTAGGGGGGTGGGGAAGGAGAGGAAGCTGGTAATATATTATATGCAGCAGAAACTAGAAGTCAGTACATTGTTTTCCCAAGCCTAGGTGGAAGGATAGAGAGCCTCCCAGAGGTCCCCCACCCCCAGAGCCCAGGTTTGATGTCATTGTTACCATTTTCTATGTAGGACCCAATGGAAGGACTAAGTAGCCACAAAGTCCCAGAGCCACCCATGTTTGCCCTGCCTTGGTGCAATCTTCACTGTGAGGGAATAAAGGAGATGGAGTTGGGGAACAGTCCTGGGGAGACAAAGGGGATAGGATTTCTCAGAAGCAACTGTAGAAGCATCACTCATCTGCCGCCTACACAGGCAGTCTCAATACACTCAATACACTCAACGCTCTGCTTCCTCCTGAACTTCCCACTCTGTCTACAAAAGGGGAAGAAGAGGATGATGGGCAGTAGCCAGTCACATGGACAAGTCTGTACTGGGGACAGGAGACATTCCCACATAAGACTGAGGACCTTTGCTCTTAACCCTGAGTGTATGTGGGGGAGAAGGAAGGGGTGGCTGGTTCTTAAGGCAGCTATTTTTTCAGGCCCCATTGTGTGTGAAGGGCACCACTAGGAAAGGTGAGGACCACTAGGAGTGGGGCAGGCACTAGCAAGAGAAGGGAGGAGTAATGAAGAGGGTGCATGAGGATGAATATAGTCTAAGCAGTTTGCCTGCATGCATGAACGCAGAGCCATGAAACCTGCTGATTTTTTATTTTAATTTTTTCGGTGCCAGTTCTGAGGATTGAAATCAGGGCCTCATGCTCTCACTTGGTTTTTTTTTTTTTTCTGTACTACTTTAGCTACACCTCCACTTTGGGCCTTTTGCAGATTAACTGGAGATAAAAGTCTTACGGACTTTCCTATCTGGGTTGGCTTCAAACTGTGATTCTCAGATCTCAGCCTCCAGCATAGTTAGGATTACAGTGTGAGGCACCAGCACCTGGCTGAAATTGTTTTCAGAAGGGGGACTGGGATAGGGAAGAGTGATGTGGGGATGGGGGGGAGAGGGGGTGAGATTGATCAGGATACATTGTATACATGTATAGAAATGTCACGATGACATCTTGTACAACTAATGTATGCTTATTCTTAAAAAGCAGCTATTTTTATCTGGCGAAGACTCATATATGGGCCTTTGGTTTTTTGAGGCAAGGTCTTACTATGTACCTGACCTTTTGACCCCTGTACTACTAGCCAACGAGCTAGCCTTCCAGTCACCTCCCTCCTCCCATGTCCAGCTGCACAGGGTAAGGACCCCTGGCTCACTGTCTAATCCAAGGAGAATAGTGAAAAAGAAGTCTTGGAGGACTTGGCTTCCAAGCCTGAGATCTTTTCAGGAAGACCCTGGCTGGGTAAGCTCTGACTTCACAGGTCAGGTCTACTGTGTCCCCCAGCAAGTGGTCTTTCGAAATAATGGAAAGAAATCTGCCCACTTCCTCTACCTCCTACCTCAGAAGGCTGGGTGCCTGTAAGGCACTTTGCTCATCTGTCACCTTGGTCATAACTCACAGGAGCCCAGGAAGGAGGTGTCATTAACCTATTTTGCAGATAAGAAGTTGAGATGCCCACAGACAATAAACTTTAATGTCAAAGTTGAGAATGAGAGTCTGAGCAGGCGCCCGGCAGAGGTGGGATGTGCTGTGGCTAACAACCCCACACTGTGTGGTCTCAGCACAGGCAACAATGCAGAGCCCAAGCCACTGCTCAAGGTCTGGGCGATGTAGAATTACGAAGTAGCTGCTTTTCTTTCTTTTGCCCTCTACCTCAGCCCAGGCACCCAGATCTCACTTGTAAGGAGCCCCCCAGGACCCAAGAAGGTTCTAGAAGATTATTCCCAATGCGAGCCCCAGCTAGGGACCTCTGAACAGAGCCTTCTGTGCTGCCTTCAGTCTGCTTGTGCTTACACAGTCTTATTAGGTACACATGCCCAGCCTTTTGCATACCAGGAAGTGGTAAGGGGAAAACAGTCATGCAGTCCCACTTGGCACTGCAAAGTCATTCTTTGAGTATAAAGGGAGCTATGGGAATGGAATAGTATGGAGTGAGGGCTCAGAGAGAAAGTTTCTCCTTCTTCCAGACCTCCAGGAAGAACAGAAAAGGCTAGGGAGGGAGGACTTGACGCCCCACCCCTTCCGGAGCCCTCCAGCTACAGGCCTGGCCTTTGTCCCTCTGCCCTCAGGTCAAGAAGGTACCTAGAAAGCCAGGCTTGGGTGGCTCATCCCTGTAATCCTAGTTACTTAGGAGGCTGAGATCTGAGGATCACGGTTTGAAGCCAGACTGGGCAAGAAAGTCCACAAGACTCTCATCTCCAATTAACCATCAGAAAACCAGAAGTGGAGCTGTGGCTCAAGGTGGTAGAGCATTGGCCTACAGCAAAAGCTCAGGGGGGCCGGGAATGTAGCTTAGTGGTAGAGTACTTGCCCAGCATGCATGAAGCCCTGGGTTAGATTCCTCAGTCCCACATAAACAGAAAAGGCCAGAAGTGGCACTGTGGCTCAAGTGGTAGAATGTTAGCCTTGAACAAAACAAGCTCAGGGACAGTGCCCAGGCCCTGAGTTCAGGCCTGACCGGACCCAAGAAAAAAAAAACAAGAAGAAGCAGGTGAACAAACTGGGGGGTGGGGCAGCCTCACAGTTTTGCCCTTAGGGCTTCAACTGTTCTGAAAGGCAGGGAGGGAGCTGTTATGTTTGCCCAGAAGAGGAGGCCTAAGGAAGGTAGTCTGGAATCTAAAGGCCTGGCACACCTCTGGTAGGGAGGAGGGAGAAGAAAGGGAAGGCTCCTCCTCCTCCTGCAGGGAAAGGGTGTGTTGACAGGAACAAAAGAGCCCTAACTTGTCTTTTCTGTTGGTGTAGGAGAAAATAACAGTGTCACAGTAACACTTAGGCTCTGTTCTAAGTGGCATGTGTACAAATTCACTTAATCTTTCACACCAACCCTGTGATGACAGTACTATTTGTGAACCCAGTTTGCATATGGAAATAACTGAGGAACTAGTCTTGTTCACCTGCCAAAGGTGGAGTGGGGAGTCAAAGCCAAGCATTTGGGTTCCTTTCAGCTATATATCTCACTAGTCAGGACACCTGGGACCCTTTTTTTTTGTTTTGTTTTGTTATAATAACACCAAGTGTATAAGGTATCTTTCATACACATCTAGGAGGCATTCTGCCTGCCTTCTTCTTTCAGCCAACCCAACACTGTATTAGGTCCCAAAGGATCAGTGACTTGGCTCAAACTCAGAGCGTTGAGCTCTTGCTTGGCTTGGATGCTAAGCTGGTGTTATAGTACTTGAGCCACAACTCTACTTCCAGCCTTTTTCTGGTTAATTGAAAATAAAAGTGGATTTGTTTGCCCAAACCACAATTCTCAGATCTCAGCTTGCTAAGTAGCTAGGATTATAGGCATGTGCAACGTGTACTGGCTTTCAGCTTATCTTTTCAGCTCAAGAAGAAAGAGACAGAAGGCAACAGTATTGCTACTGTTCCCCCTTAATAGCAATCTCAGGTCCCTGTGGTCACCTACAGGGTCACCAGTATTTATTTTGACTCAAGAGATGCCATATTGGGGCTGGGAAGGTGGCTCAGTGGTAGAGTGCTTGCCTAGCATGTATGAAGCCCTGGGTTCCATTCCTCAGTACCACATAAATAGGACTGGCAAAAAAAAAAAGAAAAAGAAAAGAAAAAAGAAACCATATTTCTATAACTTCTTTTTTTTTTAAATTTTCTTTGGGTTCGGTCATGGGGCCTGAACTCTGGGCCTGGGCGCTGTCACTCAGCTCTTCAGTTCAAGGCTAGTGCTCTACCACTTGAGCCACAGCACCACTTCTGGCTTTTTTTTTTTCTTTTTGCTTATGTGGTGCTGGAGAATCGAACCCTGGGCCTCATACATGCAAGGCAAGCACTCTACCACTGAGTCACCTTCCCAGCCCCTATAACTTCTTTTATAGTGTATGGCTCTAGCTTTTTTATTTATTTTATTTATTTATTTTTTGTTGGTTGTGGGGCCTAAACTCTGGGCCTGGGCGCTGTCCCTCAGCTCTTTAGCTCAAGGCTAATGCTCTACCCCTTGAACCACAGTACCACTTCCGGCCTTTTCTGCTTATGTGGTGCTGAGGAATCAAACCCAGGGCCTCATGCATGCAAGGCAAGCACTCTACCACTGAGCCACCTTTCCAGCTCTGTTCTATTTTATTATCAATTATTATTTATTTGTTACTGTGCTTAATTTGTAATTTGTCCATAAGTCTATATACATAAAGAAAAAACATTACATCCAAGATTCCATAGTATTCAAAGTTTCAGGCAGCCTTTCATGGATTAAAGGGGTGGGGGCAATTACATTTTCATCTCCAGATAAGGAAACTGAGGATTAAGGAGTTTATACATAGCTTTCCAAAGACAGTGACTTTTTCATTTCTAGATAGGGTCTTCTATATTGCCTAGGTTGGAATCAAAACTCTTGATCTTCCTGCCTCTGCCTCCCAAGTGCTGAGCTTACAGGTAAAGTGCCATCATGTCTTCAAGACAGTCATTTTTCAAACTCACAGCATATGTAAGAAATAATACGGCTGTGTATAGACACACATGCATATATACATCGAACGAAAAAAATCTCCTTAACTAGTACTTATCCTTACTGTGGGTGAGGCTCACTAATACTTTCTATTTCATTTTTAAGATGGTGATTCAACCCACTACACTTTCACAACCCAATAAAGGGTTGAAAAACAGGGTAATATGCCTACTATTAATGACATGGTAGACATAATGCTATAAGCGCTGGCTCAGACAGGAATCACATAACGGGTGCAATATCCCTCACTTGGAAAACATTATTGTATGAACCAATAAACGTCTTGGATCCTAAGATAAACAGCCTGGTGTACTGTAAAATGTCTTCACATTTTAGTAGTTACCCCTTGGGTAATAATGACTGTCTCGTAACACTCTGGGGCAAGCACATAAATGTATACCTTGCTTCTAAGAGTTAAGTTTCTACTGATTCCCTGATTCTACTGATTTTTTTTTCTGATAGCATCTTATGTCTCAGACTGCAAAACACCCAGAAGAAAAGAACTTTACATGCCACAATCACACTGCATAATATCCAGATGCATCTAATAAGCACTTTCTGCAAAGGCAAAAGCATCTTCAATCTGTGGAGTATGTTTATCTCTGGAAACATTTTAATAGTTCCCACCCGATTTGATTCTCAGAACAATTGCTTCATCTTAGCTGAGGGCTCAGGTTGGTCTAATGCCCCAGAGCTTTGGTGCTTCTCAGATAAGTTGATGTTAGGCAAAAATGAACCCCAAGATAAGGACTCAAATGGTTTTTCTTTCTTGCTATTGTTTCTAACATATTTATAAGATGATTTTTTTTGTTGCTTTGTATGTCCCTCCCCCACGGTATAACCCCTGTTTTCACTGTATTTGATGTTGGTATAATTTGGGGAGGGGAAGGGAAAAAACAAATTGTTTAAATAGGGATACAGGTGGACCCACTGCAACAATGAGATGTACAAGATGTTATGTTGAAAAATGAACTTTACAACTTGGGGTGGGGGATGGTAAGGGGAAACAAAGGAGGAGGCAACAATGCTTGATAAGAAATGTATTCATTACCTTGCTCATGTAATTGTAACCCCTCTGTACGGTATTTTCACACTAAAAAACTTATTCATTAGAACAATAACAACAACAAACACAGACAACTTCTGCCTCCCACTTTCTGAAAGAGGACCTTTGGAATAATGCTAAAGGTCTTTCTCAGGGAGGAGGAAGGACTTGGTCCAAGGATGACAAAGAGGTATCACTTTGATTGACTGGTGGAGACTGCCTAGAGAACAGGATGGAGAAGACAGCTGGGTGTTCAAACGGACAGAGCCCCATATAGATATAATGCCATGGTCATAGGTGACGCGATGTTTGCCCTCCCTAATTTATGCATCCTCTCCAGCCTTCCCCAGAGGACAGTAACAGAAAGTCAGTGGATACCAAGATTAAGCGGAGCTGTACCAATCTATGTCTGGTCCTCATTTATCTACCAACTCCAAAACCAATTGTAGAACATGACATTGGCTAAAGGGGCCAATGGCCTCTGGGCAGATACTTACCAGCAACAAGGCCTCCAACTGGTTGATGTAGATCTCTTCACTGGCCAAGAAACCAGACAGAACAAGTTTCCTCATCTCCAGGCCCTTCCCTGCTTCCACCTGCAGGAATACAAGCCAGAAGGAGGTATGAGAAAGGAGCCCAGATCCTAACAGGCCCATTTTCTTGCCTTTTTTTTTTCCTTTTTACTTCCCCCTTCCCTTCCCCCCCCAATCGTGGGGCTTGAACTCTGGGCCTGGGCTCTGTCCCTGAGCTCTTCAGCTCAAGGCTAGTGCTCTACTACTTGAGCCACAGAGCCACTTCTGGTTTTCTGGTGGTTAATTGGACATAAGAGTCTCACGGACTTCCCTGCCCAGGCTGCTTTGAAATAAGATCCTCAGATCTTAGCCTCCTGAGTAACTAGGATTATAGGCATGAGCCACCAGCACCCGGCTTTCTTTTAACATTTTTAAAGGAGGTAAAATTTGTACAATATGAAAATATGAAAGAAAAATAAACTACGTATATTCCTGCTACTCTCTTGCTTTTTATCTCCTACCCTATCTGCACCTTTTTTAAAATTTAATTTTAGGGGCTGGGAAGGTGGTTCAGTGGTAGAGCGCTTGCCTTACATGCACGAGGCCCTGGGTTCGATTCCTCAGCACCACATAAGCAGGAAAAAAAAAAGCCAGAAGTGGCGCTGTGGCTCAAGTGGTAGAGCATTAGCCTTGAGCTGAAGAGCTGAGGGACAGCACCCAGGCCCAGAGTTCAGGCCCCACGACCGGCCCAAAAAAATAAATAAATAAAAATAAAATTTAATTTTATTGTTAAGGTGATGGACAGAGGGGTTACAGTTACATATGTACTGAGTACATTTCTTGTCAAACTTGTTACCCCTTCCTCATTTTTCTCCCATTTTTCCTCCCCCATTACCCAACCCAAGTTGTACAGTTCATTTCCAACATATTGTCTTATGAGTATCTCTGTAGCATTGGTTTGCCCTTTGTCCTTTGTCTCACCATTTTGTTGTTCCCCTTCCCTTCCCAGGGTACCAAAATCAAATACAGTGACAACAGGGGATATAACATGGGGTGGGGGTGGGGGAACACACACAAAAAAAGAAATCACATTAAAAACAACAACATCAAAGAAAAACCTCTTTTCCATATCTTGGAGTTCATTTTTGCTTAGCATCATCTTTTTTTTGCGGGGGCGGCGGGGGGGGTCCAGTTGTGGGCCTGAACTCTGGGCCTGGGCGCTGTCCCTCAGCTCTTCAGCTCAAGGCTAGCACTCTATCACTTGAGCCACTTCCGGCTTTTTTTTCCTGCTTATATGGTGCTGAGGAATCGAACCCAGGGCCTCATGCATGCAAGGCAAGCGCTCTACCACTGAGCCACCTTCCCAGCCCGCTTAGCATTATCTTATATGGTCATATGCACATAGCTATTGAGCTATTCTGTTCATCTGCTAGGACTATCTTAGACATATACTAATTATTACATATGAGGGAAACCATGGGATCTATGTTTCTTTTTTTCTTTTTTGCCAGTCCTGGGGCTTGAGCTTAGGGCTAGGCACTGTCCCCGAGCTTCTTTTGAACTGGGGCCTGAACTCTGGGCCTGGGCACTGCCCCTCAGCTCTTCAGTTCAAGGCTAGCATTCTACCACTTGAGCCACAGTGCCACTTCCGGCTTTTTTCTTTTTGCTTATGTGGTGCTGAGGAATCAAACCCAGGGCCTCAGGCATGCAAGGCAAGCGCTCTACCACTGAGCCACCTTCCCAGCCCCTCCCCTAGCTTCTTTTGCTCAAGGCTAGCACTCTATCACAGCACTACTTCTGGCTTTTTCTGTTTATGTGCTTCAAGCAGGCTCCACAAGCACTCTATTGCTAAGCCACATTCCAACCCTGGATCTATGTTTCTTTGTATCCCCCTATTTCTTTTTCTTTTTTTGGGGGGGGTCTGGTCATGGGGCCTGAACTCTGGGCCTGAGCGCTGTTCCTCAGCTCTTCAGCTCAAGGCTAGTGCTCTACCACTTGAGCCACAGCAACACTTCCAGCTTTTTTCTTTTTGCTTATGTGGTGCTGAGGAATCGAACCCAGGGCCTTAGGCATGCAAGTCAAGCGCTCTACCACTGAGCCAACTTCCCAGCCCATCCCCCCATTTCTTGATTTGATATCCATCCATCTGTCCATCTGTTCGTCCATCCATCCGTTCATCCATCCACCAACCTAGCCAACTTGGTCATGGTGAACAGGACAACCAAGGACTGGCTCTCATGTCTGATGGGCAATTTAACAGAAAGAGGAAGATAAAAAGTTTACATAAGAGCCAGACAACAGTAGTTCACACCTATAATCCTAGAGACCCAGAGGATTGTAGTTTGAAGCTAGGCTGGGTAGCAAACTCCATGAGATTCCATCTCCAATTAAGCAACAAAAAACTAGGCTCAAGTGGTAGAGCATTAGCAGAGCAAGAACCCTCAGTTCAAACCTTGTCCTAGCCAAAAAAGTTTACAAAGGAAAATCAGTCCTAACAAGTAGGATATGGTTACATGGGAAGGTACAGCAAGGGTCATCCTCTAAGTCTGGGTGACAAATTCAGCCCCTTAAAGAAGTAGAGTATCAAGTGAGAGAAAAAGTGAGAGAATGGAGAATGGATGTCCCAGGCTTGTGGTCACTTATGACAAGAGCTTCCTGCGCCTGGGGACTTGATTCCACAACAGAATGTGTCAGCTCACCTCTGTCACCCTCTCAGCATTTCCTCCTGGTGTAAATACAGACCAAGGCAACTTCCTTCTCCCTGCAGCATTCCTGCTCCTCTGTGGGGGAAGATCATAGTCTGCTTAGCCTGGAATGACCAGCAACTAATCCAGTGCTTGGTACAGAGAAAGCACCCCATAATTTTTCTTATAGGATCCTCATGAGTCACCTAGCCTCTCCTCTCGTCTCTCTCCCTTTCCTCAGCCACATTCTGAAGCTTCCTTTCTAATCTCTTACATTTCTTCCTTGGATTCTACCCTCCCTCTGTGGTGGCCAAGCACTCTCAGAAGCTCTCACTCCCCCCGTCTACCCACTAAAGCTGAGCCAATCTTCTCAGAATGCTATCATATACCAGAAGCTTGTCAAGGCCTTCATGTGAATCCTGCAAAATTGGTCTGAATGATTTGTTCATTTCTCTATTCATCCAAAAGTTCCTGAATGCCCACTAGGCCCTTAAGTATAAATGGGAAAAAAGCAGACCACAGTCCCTGCTTTCATGTGACTTATAATCCAGTAAGAAAAAAAAAGATATCAGGTCCATAACCACAGTTCATAGATGCCATCACTTCCTTTACACCTGCAATGGGCCAGTACCTTCCCTACCTTTCCAATCTCCTACGTTGAGATCGCTGCCTTCCCAACATGTCAGGAGAAAGTGGCCTCTGAATGCAGTTCTATTGCTGCCACCTAATGCACCCTTCTGCCCTAGCTCTTTTCTTGGGTAATGCTATCTCTCCTTAAAGGCAGAGCTGAAATCTGGTCATGTCCTCAAGTCTCCCTGGATTGCCACACAGCCTGCAGAGGCACCCTCACCTATTACACGCAGTGATTTGGTAAGGTCTTAACAGCATCTGCATCACACCCTTCCTCCCCAAGGCCAACACTATTTGATACACCTGCCTTTATTGGGTTTGAACTCAAGGTCTCCAAGTACTTTATCACTTGAGCCAAGCTCCATGTGCTTTTTGCTTTAGTTATTATAGGGTTGTGTGTTTTTACTTGAAGCCAAGTTTGATCTTGATCCTTATACTTATTGACTGGGACGATTTCTTTCTTTTTTCAGAGCTGAACTCAGGGGTCTTACACTTGGCCAAGCAAGTATTCTTCCACTGAGCTAAATCCCCAATCCCCAATCCTTGTACTTATTTCCTAGCCACTAGCATAGTGGGATGACAGGCATGTGCCACCATGCTCAGCTTGTTGGCTGAGGTGGGATCTTGCTAACTTTTTGCCCAGGCTGGCCTAGAAACACAGTCCTCCAAATCTTTACTTTCTGACTGGCCCTCCATTTTATATACTCATTTAGCCTTCAAACACTCCACTGAGGGGAGTACTATAATTTCATGCTATACAAATGGGAAGACTTAAAAAGACATAAGGAAAGGGTCCTAGGTCACATGGCCAGGAAGCAGCAGGGCTGGAATTCTACCCTGGTCCTCTAACACCAAATTTTGTGCTCCTGCTGCTCTCATGATTTCTCTGCTTTCTGATTTCTTCTTCAAGTGTGGGTCACCTGCTCAACTGTTATCTCAAACAGATCCCTTCTGGGCATTGAGGAGAGTAAATGAAGCCACCAGAAACCTCATAAACTCCAGAGGAGAGTTGCTTTCCTACAGCTGGACCACCTGCCCCTGAGTCCTCACAGGTTTTTCCCATCTTTTTTCCGAGGTGGGAAACCTCTCCTCCCACTAGCAACCCAAATGGGAGACCCGACTGGAGGCTGCTGTCCCCAGAGTCTTTGAAATGTTATCTGACCTAGAGAGGGTCACATCTTGATCTGTAAAAGCTGTGACACAGAGGCGTTTGCAGATGTGATTAAATTTGAGATGGGGAAAGTCCAAAATTACCGAGGTGGGCTCTATGTAGCCACAAATGTCTTTATAAGAAGTGAGCAGAAGCCAGGTGCCAGTGACTTACACCTATAATCCCAGCTACTCAGGAGTCTGAGATCTGAGGGTCATAGTTTGAAGCCAGCCTGGACCAGAAAGTCTGTAGGACTCTTATCTCCAATTAACTAAAAAAAAAAAACTGGAAGTGGAGCTGTGGCTCAAGTGGTAGTGCTCTAGCCTTGAGCAAAAAATAAAGCTTAGGGACAGCGCCCAGGTCCTGAGTTCAAGCTCCAGTGCTGGCACAAAACCAACCAACAAACAAATAATTAAAAATAAAGAAGGGAGCACAGGGCTAGGGTTAGTTAAGAGGCAATGTAATAATGATGGTAGGGAGGATGGGACACTGCTGGCTTCAAAAGATAGAGGTTGGGACCAGAAGATAGGGATGCAGGAGGGCTTTAGAAGCTAGGAAAGACCAAGAAAGTGATTCCTTCACTCTAGAACCAATGAAACTGTGCTAGCCCTTTAAAGACT